GCTGATTTATTCATTTTAAGTATTTGGGATTTTAAGAACAAGTGGAAAATGTGCTGAATGTTTCATTTCATCCAAGTCAAATTAGCAAGCAGTTAGAATGAATTTACATTCGTTTTAAACGCGGAGCCAGGCGCGAGTCGACAGGTTGCGCGTGTGCATCAAGTCTCGTCCATACTGCCAGATGCGCTCGTGGAGACTTGCGGTGCGGAGCCGGGTGCGAGTATAAATGAGCATTACGAGACAGGCTGCGTGAGACAAAGTGAGAGTATGTCTCACTCTCCATAGCAATGCTCCCATCCTGTCTCACTCTCCTGCTATCTGAAGACCATCACTGTCCATAGCCACGCTCCCATCCTGTCTCACTCTCCTGCTGTCTGAAGACCATCACTGTCCATAGCCACGCTCCCATCCTGTCTCACTCTCCTGCTGTCTGAAGACATTCACTGTCCATAACCACATGCTCATCCTGTCTCATTATTTTGCTGTCTGTAGACGTCAATGTCCACAGCCACGTACATATCTTGTCTCACTCTACTGCTGTCTGAAGACAATCACTGTCCACAGGACCTAATACTTTAGAGGACCTTATACTGAACCCTGTGGCACTCCATACTTCTGTTGGGTTGAGCATCTTGCCATTAACACAAATAAACATGTTGGATAAGCGATTGGATAGGTAGGACCTAAACCATGCTAATGCCTGCCCGCAAATGGAAACATAATTCTCGAGCCTATCCAGGAGAATGTCATGATCTATTGTGTAAAAGACAGCATTAAAGGGGTAGTTCACCTTCAGTTGCTGGTCCCCACCGACTTCCATAGTATGGGACAAAAAAAGCACTATGCAAGTCCATAGGGATCAGCAACTGAAGATGAACTATCCCTTTAAGATCTAATAGCACTAGAAGGGAGATGCTTATATTATCTGACTATGGCTGGAAGTCATTTTTATGACTTGCAGAAGAAAAAGATAAATCCATAAAGTATAAATCATCCTTGAGAATATAAATCAATACACACTAGGGCTGCACGATTAATCGCATGCGATATTTAACGCGCATCTTATCAGTAAAGCCGGTTTTGTAATCAGCGGTAAATCTCCATCACCTGCGTGCTTTCACATTGATATATATATGTGTCATAAATACTGTATATATTTCAGACTGTCTGTGCCCCTTCTCCTCCCCCATTCAAGTCATTTGTGCAGTAAGCATTATGAGTGAATCTATCAATTTCAGGCCTTGATAACAGTCTCTATTTTTAAATTCATTGGTCAAAAGGTGTGGGAACCCTGAATGTCAAGTCTCAGTCATATAGCAGCACTGCCACAAACTCATTCACGTGTCTGTCTGAGAATGCATGTTTCTTATGTAATGTGCTTTATACGGCTGTGGTTCCTCTTCTGCAACCCTCTCTATTATAGGGTTGTGTCAGGGTAGATTAATTAGTCTTTTCAGGGTTGTTCATCATAAACTAGTAAAATGCTCTGAACTTCAGTATGTCTGATTTCTGTCACGCTGATATTTTTCTCACACACAGACATTGAGTATAAAATGATGTGATGTGTTATTACAGTGCACACGGGCTCTTATCAAATGTGATTGTCAGATATCATAAACCGTATGAGGTCATGTCCAGTTGAACTGTTGCTAATGTAAATGTCATTTTTTTTAAATCTCTGTTATAACATAATATTTATTTTATTTTTGTGTTCACAGTAATGACTTCAGTAAGATGGTTGCAGAAGAGTACCTCAAATTCTTTGAGTTTACAGACATGACATTGGACCAATCACTCAGGTACATCTCATGTCAAGTGTTTGCCATTCAATTATTGGGCAGTTGTAGGAATGCCAAATGTAGAAAAAGTGCATGTAGTATAATCACAAACAAATTGCCCTTGAAAGTAAATTAAAAAAGTTACAGTGTTTAAACAGAGAAATGGAGAGTCAGTACAACAGTAGGATACAAACTATGCGCCAACAGGAAGTCCAGGCTATGACATTGGACCAATCACTCAGGTACATCTCATGTCAAGTGTTTGCCATTCAATTATTGGGCAGTCATACAGTCACAGTGTGTGTGTTGCTGCTATTTTGCAATGGCTAAATGTGGCTCATCTGGTTGTTTGTTTACAGTCTTTAACTCCAGTGTTAAATAATATATTTTTTTCTTGCAACAATGCCACTAATTTATTATAAATTATAAATTGATGAAAGTTTTGCTGAAAGTTTTATTTGTAAATGATTTAATTCACTTATTTAATTTATAAAAATAGGAATATTTTCAGGTAGGATTTCCCAAATAACTAAATAAACAATATTGTAATATATACTGTTACTGTTATGTAATAACATTTATATACACTCATATAAGATTTATAAAATATAGAATATTTTGAACAATTAAGATCATCTATGCAACCAAAGAATGCTGAACATTATTATATTGTTTAGCTTGTTTATTATGTTGTTTGAATTTAAAAAATTATTTTTGGACAATATCTGATTACAGCTCAGGAGTCATTCTTACCAAAGTTCAGATAATTGGCCAGTGTTCACAAAGTTTTTCATTCATCTTTTTGTGTGGTTTTGGATCTTTATTTCGTCCTGTAGTCTGCCCACACACATCATTAATGTTTTTACTGTGATTGGAGCACTTTGTTGGCTCTTTTTATCTTCTATCTTGTATCTGGACCTGATTCTGGACCCCTGTTGAGTCTTCACACTCAAGCTACAAGCAAGACATGAAGTTCAAGGTCATGTTATATTGCTGTTTTTATGTTGCAGATGTTTTCTGAAAGCATTCTCACTAATGGGCGAGACTCAGGAGAGAGAGCGGGTGTTAATTCATTTCTCTAATCGGTACTATCAGTGTAATCCCACCGTCTTCACTGCACAAGGTACTCTATGTGTCATCCATACGTAACCTTTCCCATTTACTCATTACTAAAAAATTTCTATTTCAGATCAATTGAATATGTAAAGGATCATTATCATACAGTGGTGGTCAAAGTGCACAAATCAAGTACTTGAGTAAATGTACAGATACCCTAATAAAACATTAATCTAGTCAAAGTACAAGTACTCATTTTAAATTTTACTTGCTTAAAAGTACAGTAGTACTTGATTTTATAATGTACTTGAGTATTACAAGTAAAAAGTAGTGATCGCTGAATCATGTTTATTATTTATTCTATCCAGCACTAGTCAGACTACACATTAATCAGCACTAATAAGAACGATTAATGCAGACATTTAATATGCATTCATCTGTAAATAAGCAAACTTTTATTACCAAAACTTATTGTACACTATGAAAGCATTAAACTTCAGTATACTAAAATACCAATTTACTGATAATTAAGTGTGGAAACAAGTGAAATATACATTTAGTATTTTAATAATGAGACAAAACTACATTTGTGTAATTATATATCTACAATGCACAGAGGTCACATGGGGCAAAATGCGCTAATGTTTAAAGATGGACGCTATGCAAACGTGCTAGTTTTATGTAATTTGAAACTACATCAGTGGGGAAAATGCAGTAATTTTCTTCTCGCCCTTTTACAGCAGATTTACTTTACAAATAATTGACAGTCATTACCTAAAAATTATTTTCATTTACACTAATAAATACTAAAATTCAGCATTAGTAACTTACTTTTTACTCCATTGTTTGTGCTCCGGTGATATCTCGGTTCTTTGCCATTCTGACCGGATCATTGAATCAGTGAATTGTTGACTCAAAGACAGCTTCAGTCGGATCAGTCCGATTCACAAATTAATCGTTTGTGAACCAGTTCACTAGGTTCATTGGAAAGAATCAGCTTGTTCACAAATCAGACATCAAAGTAAAGTAGAAAGTATGATATTATGCTTTAGAATGTTTTGAAGCAAAAGTATCTCACCATATTTACAGCTGACTGCACATTATCCTGCTATTACATGGCTGCTAACCAAATAATAAATAAATGGATGTGAGATTAGACATTGATATGAGTTGATGAAGTTAATAATGTGAGAATAGGCGATATAACAATTAAATATTAAATATTTATAAAATGGTTTCATTTCAATGTTCATGACTGTTTGTGGAGAAAAAATAATATCAAAATGTATCAAATTTGTAATCTAAATATAGAAATATTGTGATTATTTTATTAATTGTCATAAGGACTTATTTTAAGTAGGTTTTCAATCACATTTCCATAAAAAAAACTGTATATTGTGATATACACTGAACAAAAATATAAATGCAACACTTTTGTTATTGCCCCCATTTTTCATGAGCTGAACTCAAAGATCTAAGACTTTTTCTATGTACACACTAATCAGCATCTTGATATGCAACACCTGTGAGGTGGATGGATTATCTTGGCAAAGGAGAGTGCTCACTAACACAGATTTAGACAGATTTGTGAACAATATTTGAGAGAAATAGGCCTTTTGTGTACATAGAAAAAGTCTTAGATCTTTGAGTTCAGCTCATGAAAAATAGAGGCAAAAACAAAAGTCTTGCGTTTATATTTTTGTTCAGTATATGTCTTTACCAACTAAAATGTCAATAATGTGGTGATATGTATTTTGGCTTTATATCGCTCACTCCTATGAGAGAAGAAAGAGAGTGTGGTGTAATACAAAAACATGAAACTAGCTCAGCTAATATTGTCTCAAAAAAAAGTTGTCTGAGGACTGTTTTTGATGCCTCGGCATATACAAGTCGCTCCATATGAAATCTATAAATAAAACATTTGGGATTTTGCACAAAATTTGTTATCTGTTAAATAATTGAAATAATTTTTATTTCCCCTCTTCACTAATTCTCCATGAAATATGATTGGGTTAAATCGCTCATTCAGTATCACAGTGTCGTGTTTCTTCCATAGCAACCATCTTCGTAACAGCTATGACCAGTCTATGGGTAAAAAGCTTGTTGCTAAGACTGTTGCCATGGAAGTGATGTTAGACTTTCTCCTGATGCAGAGATGAATGTGTGCGTGATATCAGAAGTTATGATAAAAATAATGTTCAGTCTCTTTGACCTGTCTATGAGTGTGTTCACCGAATGTTTCATTGATGTTTGCAGATGGAGTTCATTGCCTTACCTGTGCGCTAATGCTGCTCAACACTGACCTTCATGGCCCAGTAAGTGACCTCTGACCCTCTGCTAGAGTTGCCCGTATTACTAGCTAAGTGAAAACTGACAGTTTGTTCCATCTTTGCCATAAGCGCATGAATGCAGACGCCGTTTGACCTAATCAGAGCCTGTTATTGGTGAATGTAAAGATCCCACTGGAGGAGGATTTGTTTGGTTCATGTTTCACCTCAAAATAAAAAGTCTGAAAAAGTCTTTTTGGGGAGGGTGACATGTTGCCCAGGGATTCACCAACTAGTGTCAAGGATGTCAAACAAAGACAAAGGATGTCTTTTGTGTTTGATTTTACTGTGGATATTATCTGTGATCAAATGTTCATGGTTAAACCGGTGAAATCTTCATGGGTGTGTCTAAATAAATATAAGTAGCTCAATTTGACCAGAAAAGGAAAACAAAAAGAAAGGATTCAGAAATGTGCCATTAGTAACTACAGTACAGTGAAGAAAGAAGAACGTTATCTGCACCCCCCACCGTTTCCTCAGTGAAATGTGAGGTGCATTCTGGGTTCTCTAAGAATAGCTCCTCTCATTGGTCTCCATGGAGTTTGATCATGTGTCTTGAAACTTACAGGACGCCGTGTTTTGAGTGTGACACGCTCAGTAGAACGCATGTGCCATGGAGACGTAGAGATTTCATGCCCACACCGCAGCACTCCTCTAGACGCTTTCATTTCAAACGTTGTTTAGTTTCATGTCATGTGGGTGAATACAGCTGAAAGTTGCGCGGCTGTGAATCTTTTCAGAAATGTATGCCAGACGCCCACACACAAATAAATACATGGCTGCGTTTGTGGAGGGAAGCGTTATGCATATCACACAGGTTATATAGAGACAGAACAGATGGGTAAATCTCATCAAAACCTGTCCTGGTTTGAAAGAAGAAATGTATATTTTACATAAAGAAAACAAAAGTTATTTTGTGGAACCAATAAAGACTTCATGAGGCTTTGAGGTTGACTACTGTATTCCTGAAAATGGACAAAATAAATGTATAGCAAATAGATGCATTAAAATTTACAGGCAAACGGTCCAGATTTTTGTCCACTGGCATGCTCTTTAGAATGAGAATGTCCAATGACAAACACGGTTCACAGCTGTGTCATGACTGAAGCCTGTTGTCTTTGGCGTGTCCCATCCAAAGCGTCCTGTTTCAACAGGACATACACTACCATTCAAACAACAATAACAACAAAACCTTTATTCAGCAATGATGCACTGAATTGATCGAATGACTTTTATATTGTTACAGAAAGTTTCTCTTTCAATAAATGATGTTCTTTTGAACTTTCTATTCATCAAAGAATCCTGAAAAAAATATGTTTACACAAAAATATGAAGCAGCAAAACTGTTTTTAACACTGATAATAATCAGAAATGTTTCAGCAAATCAGCACATTAGATTATTTATAAAGGATCATGTGACTCTGAAGACTGGAGTAGTGATGCTGAAAATTCAGCTTTGATCACAGCAATAAAATACATTTTACAATATAAAAACTAGAATAGTATTTCACAATATTAATATTTTTACTGTATTTCTGATCAAATAAATTCAGTCTTATTAAGCAGAAGAGACTTCGTTCAGAAACATAAAAAGGTGTAATTAAAAACATTAATAGATAAATAAATCGGAAATATTTAATAATAAAATAATAAAAATATATTATAATATATATAATATATAAATTATATATAATATGTATAAAATTAATATATGATATATTATAAAAATATTAAAATTAAAAAACTGCTTATTTTCTTAAAACAAAAACTAACACTAGCTTCTCTAATCTTTTTGTATTCTATCTATTTGTTTTCTTTTTATTTATTATACAATTAACAAAAGCAAAAAAGGCCTCTAACACTAGCTTGCTCTATTCTTTTTCTATTCTATCTGTTTTCTTGTTATTTATTATATAATAAAAAAAAAACTTGCTACGTGTACTGCATTAAGCTAACTGAGACTTGTTATAGCACTTGCGTATCATTGCTCTCTTGTTGATTTTGATTGCTTCCATTGTCCTCATTTGTCCTCTAAACAGCACTTATCAAGCGTCCTGTGGTCTTTCAGATTTGTTTTATTGGGACATTTTTTGTGACAATACAATTAACTGCAATTTCCAGTAATGCAAAAATCTTATTACACTTACTGTAATACATAATGGAATCCTGTCATTCTGTTCGAGAACGTTTTCTAAATTTAAAGAAGCATTAATTGCATTCATTGTAACAAATACATGATTTATTCACAATTTAATTGAAACAATCATTCCCTGCATTACAGTAATGAGAATGAAATTATGGGGGCAGTGGAATAAACACACGTCTGCATTGTATTTATGAGCATGATATCTGGTTACTGCGCAAGACTCAAATGTTTGTTTGTATTTTGAGAATTTGTTGTTCTTGCAAAATAGTGTTTTATTCTCAGTCAGTCTTTGCTGAGTTTGTGATCTGTGCTGCAGACCCATGTCAAATCAGAAAGAGAAAAAGGGCTTGATGTGCTGTTAAAGTGATGGATGACAGGAGGCTATAGCATCGCTTCACTGATGAAACTGCAGCGTGAGATCTTGTGGAATCGTGTATTTCGAAGCAGCCTGTGTCTCTCTTTGATATCTCGTGCCAGTCTGAACATTTGACAGTGCCATCCACCTACGAACTCGGCTGGTGCTGGCAGGAACAGTAAAGTCAGTGGAACAAACACCGTCTGTGCTTTCTTTTAGAAGGCAAGCGGCCGCTCCTTCAGTCTTTGTCTATGACATTATAAAAGCAGCAATCTGATGCTGTGAAGGAGAAATCAAGGTTCAGACAGAGTAATTGTAGAGGATGTATAACAGCAGCAGTCTGTGTATGTGGTAGCTGTATGCGCTTGTGAAAAGCTTATTAAAGTCCCACTGTAGATCGTGATTTTTATTTTTCCACATGTATTTTGGTAATTTGCTTTCTCACAAAACAAAGACAGAACTACTGTGACCAAAACAAATCATCATCAGACAGGTAATGCTGTAACAAAATGCAAACTTGTAAATGTTTGAGTCATTCAGTGAAGTAAAACATTTAAATTCCTTTTTATGTACACAAACTATATAATAGCTCAGAGATCAACAGCGAAGTAGCTCGGCGCAAATGCTTATATATAGATTACATACTCCAGTTAAATAATTTCATGCTATTGGATTCGATCAGTTCTGGATTGTAATAGATATTCTTAAATCTGTGCATTTAGTTAAAGCTGTCACCTCCTCCTGCAGTGCTTAATCAAGTGCATCAGTCTGTGAATTATTGCATGAGCGTGGCATTATATGGTGTCCGGCATAATTTATAAACAATCTTTTGCTTTGCATCAATCAATCGACAAAATAAAAAGAGAAAACAATCATATGATGATATTAAGTATTTTTTCTTTGCAAAGTTAATTTATTTGATTATCCAAAAATAGACCTTACAGACTGCAGTTCCAAAGTTTGGGCTTTTTAAAAATGTTTTTACAAAAAAACGTCTCTTCTGCTCACCAAGGCTGCATTTATTTGACCAAAAATACAGTAAAAACAGTAATATTGTGAAATATTAAAATTGGAAATAACTGTTTCTATTTTAACCTATTTAATAATGCCGCACTGATATGTGACTCTGCAGCACAAAAGCAGTCTTAAGTCGCTGGGGTATATTTGTAGCAATAGCCAACAATACATTGTATGGGTCAAAATTATTGATTTTTCTTTTATGCCAAAAATCATTAGGATATTAAGTAAAGATCGTGTTACTTGAAGATATTTTGTAAATTTCCTACCATAAATATATCAAAACTTAATTTTTGATTAGTAATATGCATTGCTAAGAACTTCATTTGGACAACTTTAAAGGAGATTTTCTCAATATTTAGATTTTTTTGCACCCTCAGATTAAAGATTTTCAAATAGTTGTATCTCGGCCAAATATTGTCCTATCATAACAAACCATACATCAATGGAAAGCTTATTTAAATTGACCCTTATGACTGGTTTTGTGCTCCAGGGTCACATATGTTTTAGACAACATTAAATACAATATAAATAGATCTAAAATGATCTAGGTATTGGAGAATCAGTTGTATCATCGTTTTATGTTGTCATATTGCCCAGCAATAAAACTTGCTGTATGGTAAAGCACTGACATGACAGCACGATTTCTGAAGAAAAAAAATGTGTATTGTGAAAAGCACTATACAGATCGATTTCATTTTCAAATGTAATTTATACCTGTTTACTTTTCAGCATTCTTTGTTAAATAGAAAGTTCAAAAACATGATAAATCTGTCTTTTTTGATTAATTTAATGGATCATTGCTGAATAAAAGTATACATTTTTGAAAAAGGAATCCAAGGCACTTCTTCTGGCACTTCTAAAGGCTTTTATAAATTTTTGGACCAGAAGAAGTGCCTTGGATTCCCTTTTTTCAAAAGTTGTTTCAAATCCAACCAAAGAGCACCTTCTGGGATTACTTCACAAGGTCCTTTCCGCAAGTAGCGCTTCAAGATGTCTCCTACGGTCTGTTAAAGTATACTTTTCTTTAAAAAAAGTTATGGTAGTGTATCTCATATATTAACTGTGTTTTACATGGAATTTCCAGCAAAAACAATTACATAGTGATAAATTCTGTGATATAAAATGCCTTGCCGCCCACCCCAGTGAATACTGTAGGGTTCCTTACGTTTAATAGCAGGCTCTATTGAGTTTGTAAATTTGATGAGAAAGCAGGACTGACTGATCTACAGCCATTGTAGGAGTGCATGCTGGGATGTCAGCATGTTAGAGATCCCCTCCTCTGCTGCTGTCAGGTCGTGTCGGACTCGCAGGGTTAAATCAGGGTGATGCAGTGCCATCCTGCCCCATTAACAGCCCAATAAATGTTTCTCATGCCCCACAGAATATTGGGAAGAAGATGACGTGCCAGGAATTCATCAATAATCTGGATGGACTCAATGGAGGACAAGATTTCCCCCGGGAGCTGCTGAAGGTGCGTCTCAAACAAATCTCTCAGCGTTCCTCTTCGAGATGATGTATGAAAGGATACATTGTTAAAAACCAGCTTGATACCAAAAATTTCAGAATAGAAATCAGCTGCTCCAGGTGCTTTGAGCCTGGTGATATTCTATAACACACACTGCTGTGTACTTTCCCTTGTTTTCATAAGATCTGATCTTTACTAATCAGTCACCCTCAACCTGATGTTTGTTTACTTGATACAAGCTCAGGACAAAAGCGCTCTTGACTTGGATTCATTAGTAATACATGCTGTTATTGGAGACAGACATGGATATTTGGAGGCCTGAACTAATGCAGGTAGATCTCAGCAAGATTCTCTTCAAACTGCTGCTCCACCATGACCATAGTTAAAAGAGAAAGCTGAAGTAAAAATACAAAAATATCTTGTGGCGATACTACGAATGCAGTGATGCATGATGTGTGGCTAAGAAGCATCTATATTTACAATAAAACAGGACAGAAGCATCAGAGAAATGATTTGTTTCACAGCTGAGTTGTGTTACTGTCATTTACTTTTTATATAGCGTTAATTGTTTGTGCAAGTATTCAGTTCTTGAGTTGTTTGTGTCGTAAGTGATGATCACAAAGATTTATGCTTTTGCAAATGTATGCTTTTGCTGGTGCTAATCTAAAGCCTACAATGCATTCAGGATCTAGTGTTTTTCATTTCATTCATTCTTGACCAAAAAATACACCAAAAAATAGAAATATTTAATTGGTTTACCTGCCGGTCAGTGTGATCATTAACCAAGATCAGAGAACTGTGAACATGCGAATGTGCTGTTAAATTATTGAAATATTACCTTCCTCAGAGATATTTCAATGTCAGATTGGTTTAGTTGACAAAAATAATTGGGAATCCCTGCATTATATGAACAAACATTAATAAACATGAAAACAGCAATGACATAACACGGCCAAAGTCTTCCAGGTTTGAAATATGTTTGTCCAGGTCACTGTATATGATGACGACATAGTGTTTCACAGCTATCATCAGTGTTTAGTAACTTAATTATTTGTAATAATTATTTGTTTCATACATGGTCTCTAATTGCTTGAGAGGTGTTTCCCCTCACATTCAGAAGCATGGTTTGCAAATTTATTAAATGACATGTGAATATAGTCAAAGCTAAATGGTATGATTTTTAGAAAGGAAAATTTAAAAGAGAGAAAAAAGAAGAATTAGGCAGAATAAGTAAATTATGAATAATTTATTGCCATATTGAGTAATATGTAATCCATAAAAAAGTTACTGTAATCTGATTGAGCATTTTAAAATGTCATATACTTTAATTACGAGTACTTAATTTTTGGAAATCGCAAGATTACGCAATTCAGATTACATGTAAGTACCCAGCCCTGACCATCAGATCTGTGGCCCACCTGCTAGACAATCTTGTCCCGTGTTTGGTCTGATATGTCCGGTGCTGGCAGCCGAGCTCAATCAGTGACAGGCCAAAACAGCCCCGTGTGGACTCGGGCTCAAATGAGTGTGATCTGCCAAAATCAGCGGACATAGATAATTAAATACCCCCCACCAACACCTCTTCCGGATAGTGCACACTTCTGTACACTTCACACACTAACAGGATGTGTATTGCGTGCTTAATAACTTGGCAGTGTCTTCAGTGAGCACTTTATAAGGCGTTATATAAAGCTGCACCAAAAGCGAGTGCCCTTGCCGAGCGTCTGTCGTGACTGTCCTCTGCCAACTCCATGAGCTGGCTACTTTCATGAGCTTTTTATGGCCCGCTCGCAGGTATCGCCATACTGAATGACTCACAGATCTGTCTTAATGAGAGAAGTGAAGAGTGGTGTGTACGTGTTCTTCAGGTTCATTTTGGTGTCAAATATCTCTTTTTGATGTTAGGTCACAAGAATTCTTGTAATGGATGCTGTTAATCTAGTCTAGGTTTAGTTAGTTGAAGCAGTTTGCATCTTTGACAGGCTTGCAAACAAGCAAACCAATCAGACAACTTTATTACGTTCTGAGACGGCAAGGCCAGAATCATTTAAAGTTGTTTTCCAGCTCATTTCAATGGCACATTTTGAGTAAATTGTAGTACAAGATCAAGTTTTCAGTTGTGTGAAAACACAATTTTGTTTTCTGCAGTGAAATCAGCCTGCCAAAACCCAAAATATATTGATGGATCATTTTGTCTTTTCATTTCTTATTTGGCATCTGAAGGAACTCCGATAAATGGGTGACTGATCTGCTACCTTTGTAGCAGAACTTAATGTTTTATGGTATTATTAGATCATAAGTTTAGGGGAAAAGTGCTTCTAATTTCTGTTTATTTCAGGTTTATGGAGCGGCTGATGGCTCATAAAATGCACATATATATTTGGGGGCTGTCAATTTATGGGATTAATTACATATCAGTAAATGATGCAGACCCTCTTTATTTATTTATAAATAAAAACAGATGGGATGTTTAATAAAAGTAAGGTTATTTGCAGTTCTTATAAATGTACACTTTGTACTCTTTGGTTTCACATGGTTTGAAAGACAAAACATACTTTTTTCAGACTTAACATCTTGAATACAAGTCATCTTGATCATAATATTAAGAAAAGTTTTTAATTATATTTTTCAAGATAAAAAGTATTTTTTTGTAAATATGCATGCATGGTAGTTGTTCTAGTTGAATGTTGTTGGTTACGAATTATTGCTTTGGTTTTGCAGACAAAAGTTTGAATATTAATAACCACTGAAACTGTTTTGTTAATGTTTCATCCTATGAAATAATACAATAATATGCCAAAGTTTTATTTTTAAGAGCTTTTAGCAAGGTTTTTTCTGCACTGTGATTTAAGGGCAGTTTCATCACCCTGAGAAACATTGTGGCTTGTTAAGAGCGTCTTTTCAGAACGACTGTGGAGACGGACTCAAATCAACTTGAAAGCATCAGTGTCAGTGACTGTGAAAGACTGCGTGTCTCTGTTTGATTGGCAAACACCACACACACGGAACAGTTTGTCAGATATCTCTTGCAGTATTAAACAGTCTATTTTGATACATCAAATATCTAATTTCTCTGTCTGCTCTAGTTACACACTGTCAATTGGTGGCTGACCGTTTTGCATTATTGAAATGTTCACAAGTTTAAAGTAGCTGTGTTTATGATTATAGCCTTGTTTTCTTGTTGTGAAGTACGTGGCTGATCATCTTAGAGACAAGATGGCGGCGCGTGCACATCACGAGGCTCAGTGTCTTACCAGCTTTTGCAAAATAGTATTAATTTGCCTGGTTATTTCCTACATGTTCGCACGATTCAGTTATGTGAACTACACCTACAGCAAACAATCACTTTTGGACATCAACAAATGGTGCTCCAACATAGTTTTGGATTATCCTTTCAACTTCGGCGAACTCCCTCCAGTGCTACAAAGATCACCGCGGACAAGTGGATCACTCACACCGACCGGAAGTGTTCGGCGTCAGCATCAAGATCATAAACAAACATGGGGGAAGCGTGGAGGGCTGCGTGCTAAGCAAGCGGTCTCTCTTGAAACCAACACGGAAGTGACTTAAACTGCAATTCATCGACTGGCCGCTAGAGACTGGCTCCAAAAGGGAGTCAATCCCATAGACTCCCCATGTTAAAATGCCCAAGTTTACAGCAGAAAAAACATTTTTACAGCCTGGTACAAAAAGTGGTTTTGGTCTGTATAGCTAATTTTGCCCTTCATGACAACTGTGAGGGGGTGATTTTTTTTATAACTCATCGATTTAAATTATATTAAGCCTTAAAGTTCTGTATAATTAAGGGCGTGGCGACTTGAGTGACAGGTGGATTGCCGCTGCTGTCACCACCGTCGAGCTAGGTAAGTGTGGATTCAGCAACCAGCTCCATCCACGTCCTGCCTCTTTGTCCATTTTCGATTATCCAGGTTAGCAAAATGGTGACGAACGGCTCCGCCCACTTTGGGCTTAAAAAATGCTCTTCAGAAACCTACGGGTGACGTCACAGACACTACGTCCATGTTTTTATACAGTCTATGGCTCTAAGCTAAGACTAAACTCACACCGGCCAGCTCTACCCAGCATCTTCCTTGCCAATGTACGGTCTCTGATAAACAAGCTGGACGAACTGAAGATCTGGACCCTCACACAGAGATGACTTATGGACTGTAATGTCATGTTCTTCACTGAGGCCATATCCACACGTACACGGGTATTTTTTTTCCTAAAAAGTTTTTCCTTCTTCCGTTTAAAAAAAATCTCCGTCCACATGAATACGCAAAAGCATGCTATGAAGCACTGTCAAGAGCATGCCAAGCCAACAGGTGGCGATATAATCTCAACCGTAAAGCCATGTTGGCCAATCAGAAGCCTGAAAAAGTTTCCAGTAGGCGGAGATAACAGCGCATGCTCCGACGTCACAAGCCAAAATCTCTGGCTTCGCTGTCTACACGATAACACTGTTTTTGAAAATCTTTACCCTGGCAGGAGTTTTCAAAAATGTTCGGCTTCAGTGACCTGGTGCTGCGTTTGCATGTGGACGAATGGCCAAACTGCATAGAAAAAGCTGCAGTTTTGAAAATACCCGCATTCGTGTGGACAGGGCCTGAAACATGGCTCTGTAACGATGTCCCAAACAGCGTGGTGCATCTGGGCAGATCCACCATCTTCAGGGCAGAGGTTGCTGCTATCTTTACAGAGTAGAAGCAACCTCTGGTAAAAACAAGGGTGGTGGAGTATGCATTTATGTAAACAAAACATGGTGTACAGACTCTGTCATTGTTGATACCCACTGCTCTGCTGATCTAGAGTTCCTGATTATTAAGTGCAGGCTATTCTACCCATCACGTGAGTTTACTTGCATTGTTTCTGCTGCAGTTTATGTGCCGCCGGATGCTAATGCTAACTTGTCTATGAAAGAACAATGGTCTGTTATTAGCAAACTACAAACCTTGCACCCGGATGGGACTTTTATTGTTGCTGAGGACTTTAATCACTGCACTTTA